GTGGTAATTATATCTCACATCCTAAAGAAAATGAAATAACAATGTCTTTATATAACTTCTCTGCCAAGATGTCAGATTGTTGAGGTGAGTTACTCCAGCCCCTTTGTGTATTTGTCAGAGATCAACTTCCAAAAGGCAGTGGTGACTACAAAAGGACCACACAATTAATATGAGGCTCCATGTAATAAGCTTTATCTAGAATAGTTCAATTTTTATCTTAAATTTGAATAACAAAGCTGAAATAATAAGCCTTTTTAAGTGGGTAATGTTCCAGAAGTAATTTGGATTCAATCTGTTCTCTTCCAACTTGAGACACATTTCATTCCTAAGTTCTTCATATGAACTTAAGTGCATTGAAAAAACGGCATAATACCTAATAATATATTCAACTAAGTTGTTTCTCCGAGTGAGTCTGTTTGAACTCACCAGTTTCAGAGTTTTGTCTATCTCCCAGTCCCACATTTGTCAAGACTCTGACAAGAAGCTGCAGCATAAAATATAAAACTGGAATTCATACTCAATACAAATCATACCTTTCTCGGTCTTTTGGCTAAGATCAAGTGTAGTATCTGTTCTTATCAGTTTAATATCTGATATGTGGACCATTGGTTCACATGATATTAAATTTATTTTTTAAGGGAGAAGGCCAACTACAGTAGCTTGCTGCTGTGGCTCTTAAGCATCTGCTGTGGCTCTTAAGCATCGTCCCTGCTTTGCACTACTGCAAGGCTCGGGTGCATCCCATCTAATATAGTTCAAATTCAAATGTGTATTTGGGGTTGCAGGTTAAAGGTTTGACATTTTACACATATTTGTTAAATGTTTGATGTATTTTATATATATCTATGGAAAATAGATGACGTATTTCATAATGTTTTATAACTGTTTCAAATATTTACTTGTTTCTAAAAGATTAGGATGTTTGTCTGATAAGATGACAGACCACTGATGAGCTGAGTTACTCCCGCTTATGTCCCAAGTGGGCGCATTAAATTTTCTGATGAGAGTTGTGTTGCTTAGATTAATTTTTTTTGTGTGAAAATATCTTAAAAAATTTAGGTTCTGTTTATAAACACTTCTATTCACATTTTAGAAGTAGTATAAGATGCCATGTATTTGGTTGATTGAAAATTTTTCCATTTTTACAAGTTTTCTCACTTTATCAAATATATCAATATGACAATTAGTTGTCCAAATTGCGATCAAACGGTTGGACATGATTCACAGTTTTTCTTCTCTGTTTTTGTTCATTTTTTTTTCCTTCAACAGTGTGGTCATTGTCAATCACGAGACTTTATCATTTTCATTGCTTTGGTAATTTTATTCAACAATAATTTGGTCTTAAGTAGCTTGACTGACGTTGTCACAAAATCAAACTGCAGATAGTATGAAAATGAAACACAATGATTCAAGCAAACTATTACTATAAAGAAGAATAATGCATTTGAACTCACTTAGAGTGATTTAATTTTGAAATTAATTTGCACTTTCCAGAAGCATCAAAATCAAGGGGCAATGTCCCTCATTTATCTGAACTCTGACAAAAAGATGTAGTTCGGAGTATAAAAGCAGAACACTTACATTGCAAAAAACATACCTTTATGGGCCTTTTGGTTAAGATGAAGTATTTAATATCTGTTTTTATCAGCTTCATATTTGATGTGTGCCATTGGTTTAGTGAGACACTTATGCATTGTTATTGCTTGGCACTAATGCAATGACTTGATACATCCTTCTCAAAACAGTTTAACTATTGTTGATAATAGAACTTGCATCAATGCAATAACTGGTTCATCCCTTTCATCCCTCTCAAAACATTTTAACTAACTATTCTTATCTTGTAAAAGTTGATTGTTCAGGCAATTGTTTTTCTTGGCTCCTAGAGTGGAAGCTCTTTGAAACACAAAATAGCACAACAAAATGTTGATCTTGTGTGTGATAGGAGAAAAAGTTGTATGTTAAATCATAAAACAATGAAAGTTTTGGATGAAAAAATAAAGTTTTTGAGATATGTGCTGTCAAACAATTTTTTTTTTGCATGATCCTTCCAAATGAGAGGCAGTGATGAAGTGGTATAACTAAAACAAGAAAAATATGTAGCTTTGTATGATTAGTCAGATACTCTAGAAAATTCGTTTAAGGGTTCTTTAAAATTTTAATGTCCTTAATGAAAGTTAATTCACAATAACCAACCATTCACTTGGACAAACCGATTGAGAATAAAGTTTTAATGAGATGAAAAAATGTGTAATGAGTTTGATATCTCTTGTACAAGGATCAAACTAATGGCTCAAGCTATTGCCTTTATATAAACATAAATTGGGCTATATTCAGTTTTGTTAGGGTTGACGAGTTTGATATCTTTGAGCTTAATTGCTGTATATTCCTTACACTTATCATATTTCTAATAAACATTTATCTATCTCAACATAAAACCTTATGTTTTTCCACCCTGTCATCAAAGACACTTTTCAGAGTCTAACTTTAATGATACTTATTAGTCATATCAAATACCTCTCTCAAATCTTTTATGTATATCAATTTTTTTAGACTTCACAAGCATGAAATTCTATTAATCAATCTTTGGTGAGTTGTTCCTCCTTTCTAAAAGTAATAAATTTTTATCTAAAATATTGAATAATATAGCTAAATCTTGGATTCAAATTTTACATTTAATAAGGTCTTTTATAACTACATGAACAACTTTCAAACTGTCAAGTCTTTTGCTTAGGACCAAACATCAAAAGCTATTTTGTTTTAGACAATACCAAACAATGTTTCAGCCACTGATTTTTTTTAGAAAAACTTTCTCCTTCTAATTTTTGGCATTCAAAACCAAACTTCGAGTACGAAAAAGAACCAACATAAAATATAATATTATATTCAAGTAAACTATCTGTGAAGAATATACTGTTCTAAAAGTTATTAGTATCAGATTTACATAATAATACAACAATTCTGGTTTAATTGTGAAATTATATTCCTCTGGTCATATTAATCCAATGACANTGACGGCATACCTTGTTTGCATGAACCCAATCTTCAACTTGTTTTGAATTTGGAGGGAGACTGGAGTCGGGTTTTGAAGATGAAAGAGCAAAAGCGACTCCGTACATGTCTAAGAGGGTTGACACGCGTTCTTGCCAGCGCCGGAAATTCTGACCAGAGAAGACTTCAATTTTTGATACATCCGGGAAAGGTTTCGCGAAGACCGTCTGAGTTCCGGAAACATTATTCTGATTCTCCGGGATTGAGTTGTTGTTGTTGTCAGCCATAAGTCCTTAAGATTGTTGTAAAAGCTGACAAAAGTAGAATAAAGATCACAAACAAAATACTTCCTGAGGCGTGTAGGTCACTGCCCTTAAGGACTTATCCGCGGTGTATTGCGCAAGCCCCCCAGGATACAACAGGAACTTCTCAGAATTTCTGAGGATCTCAGAACTAGCAAGGAACTCTAAATAGAGTATAAGAATAACCCAGAATAATTTTAGAAGAGAAAAAGAGCTAGAGAATGAAACTCAGAAAAGAGGAGAATAAGAAAGAATGAAATTTTGTGTGTCTTGGAATGGAGGAGGAGCTCCCTATTTATAGAGTTCATGGATCAAGCCCATGATCCAAAAATCCAAAATATCTTTTAGAAAAATAATATTTTAATTAATTAAAACGTTGCAAAATGAACGTTGGCAGCCCCTAGCTTGCGGAAGACGTTGGAAGCTCAATACCTAGGAAGGCTACAGAGCACGCGGTCAAAACCACTCCACAAAAACTGCATCTTCCGATTCTTCAGCACACACAAACTACGGAAGAAAGATCTTTTGCAATACAGGTTTTACAACAATATTGTTAGGACATGAATGAAGAGTTTAAAAGAAGGAATAAAACATTAGTCTAACTGCATTAGTAGTAGGAAGGGCGGGGTATTGGCTATATAAATAGCAAAGAAACAATTGTAGAGGGGGAATTGTTTTGATTGTAAGTTCTAACAGGATTTGTCATCCTGAGAGAGGAGGTTATGCTCCCAAACCATTCATTGTACACTGCTTATTCATTCTGAAATAAGAGAATTCTTTCTTTCATCTCTTTTATCTGCATCGAGAAAGTGTTATTGTTAGGTTCTAACCCACGTACCTAACATATATACTGTTATTTCTCTTTCACTTAAAATTATTCAACTGTGAATTGATTATTTTGGTTCTGGAGTTGCACCTGATTAATGTGTTATGTAAATTGTTTGAGATTATAAATGTCTATGTTTGTAATTCCTTAGTAATAAAAGAAAAATTAGTCATATTGTGAAATGACAATAAACAAGAAAAGACATTTTGTCAATACTAGGAAGTTGCAGAGAATGATCGCAAATACAAGATTTTAATAGTTTCAATCTTTTTTTCACTTCTATGAAATATAGAATAATTAGATGAATTTGTGAAAGATAAAACATCCTAATCTGTACTCTACTACGGCAAATTTTGTGGTAATTATATCTCACATCCTAAAGAAAATGAAATAACAATGTCTTTATATAACTTCTCTGCCAAGATGTCAGATTGTTGAGGTGAGTTACTCCAGCCCCTTTGTGTATTTGTCAGAGATCAACTTCCAAAAGGCAGTGGTGACTACAAAAGGACCACACAATTAATATGAGGCTCCATGTAATAAGCTTTATCTAGAATAGTTCAATTTTTATCTTAAATTTGAATAACAAAGCTGAAATAATAAGCCTTTTTAAGTGGGTAATGTTCCAGAAGTAATTTGGATTCAATCTGTTCTCTTCCAACTTGAGACACATTTCATTCCTAAGTTCTTCATATGAACTTAAGTGCATTGAAAAAACGGCATAATACCTAATAATATATTCAACTAAGTTGTTTCTCCGAGTGAGTCTGTTTGAACTCACCAGTTTCAGAGTTTTGTCTATCTCCCAGTCCCACATTTGTCAAGACTCTGACAAGAAGCTGCAGCATAAAATATAAAACTGGAATTCATACTCAATACAAATCATACCTTTCTCGGTCTTTTGGCTAAGATCAAGTGTAGTATCTGTTCTTATCAGTTTAATATCTGATATGTGGACCATTGGTTCACATGATATTAAATTTATTTTTTAAGGGAGAAGGCCAACTACAGTAGCTTGCTGCTGTGGCTCTTAAGCATCGTCCCTGCTTTGCACTACTGCAAGGCTCGGGTGCATCCCATCTAATATAGTTCAAATGTGTATTTGGGGTTGCAGGTTAAAGGTTTGACATTTTACACTTATTTGTTAAATGTTTGATGTATTTTATATATATCTATGGAAAATAGATGACGTATTTCATAATGTTTTATAACTGTTTCAAATATTTACTTGTTTCTAAAAGATTAGGATATTTTTCCATTTTTACAAGTTTTCTCACTTTATCAAATATATCAATATGACAATTAGTTGTCCAAATTGCGATCAAACGGTTGGACATGATTCACAGTTTTTCTTCTCTGTTTTTGTTCATTTTTTTTTCCTTCAACAGTGTGGTCATTGTCAATCACGAGACTTTATCATTTTCATTGCTTTGGTAATTTTATTCAACAATAATTTGGTCTTAAGTAGCTTGACTGACGTTGTCACAAAATCAAACTGCAGATAGTATGAAAATGAAACACAATGATTCAAGCAAACTATTACTATAAAGAAGAATAATGCATTTGAACTCACTTAGAGTGATTTAATTTTGAAATTAATTTGCACTTTCCAGAAGCATCAAAATCAAGGGGCAATGTCCCTCATTTATCTGAACTCTGACAAAAAGATGTAGTTCGGAGTATAAAAGCAGAACACTTACATTGCAAAAAACATACCTTTATGGGCCTTTTGGTTAAGATGAAGTATTTAATATCTGTTTTTATCAGCTTCATATTTGATGTGTGCCATTGGTTTAGTGAGACACTTATGCATTGTTATTGCTTGGCACTAATGCAATGACTTGATACATCCTTCTCAAAACAGTTTAACTATTGTTGATAATAGAACTTGCATCAATGCAATAACTGGTTCATCCCTTTCATCCCTCTCAAAACATTTTAACTAACTATTCTTATCTTGTAAAAGTTGATTGTTCAGGCAATTGTTTTTCTTGGCTCCTTGAGTGGAAGCTCTTTGAAACACAAAATAGCACAACAAAATGTTGATCTTGTGTGTGATAGGAGAAAAAGTTGTATGTTAAATCATAAAACAATGAAAGTTTTGGATGAAAAAATAAAGTTTTTGAGATATGTGCTGTCAAACAATTTTTTTTTTGCATGATCCTTCCAAATGAGAGGCAGTGATGAAGTGGTATAACTAAAACAAGAAAAATATGTAGCTTTGTATGATTAGTCAGATACTCTAGAAAATTCGTTTAAGGGTTCTTTAAAATTTTAATGTCCTTAATGAAAGTTAATTCACAATAACCAACCATTCACTTGGACAAACCGATTGAGAATAAAGTTTTAATGAGATGAAAAAATGTGTAATGAGTTTGATATCTCTTGTACAAGGATCAAACTAATGGCTCAAGCTATTGCCTTTATATAAACATAAATTGGGCTATATTCAGTTTTGTTAGGGTTGACGAGTTTGATATCTTTGAGCTTAATTGCTGTATATTCCTTACACTTATCATATTTCTAATAAACATTTATCTATTTCAACATAAAACCTTATGTTTTTCCACCCTGTCATTAAAGACACTTTTCAGAGTCTAACTTTAATGATACTTATTAGTCATATCAAATACCTCTCTCAAATCTTTTATGTATATCAATTTTTTTAGACTTCACAAGCATGAAATTCTATTAATCAATCTTTGGTGAGTTGTTCCTCCTTTCTAAAAGTAATAAATTTTTATCTAAAATATTGAATAATATAGCTAAATCTTGGATTCAAATTTTACATTTAATAAGGTCTTTTATAACTACATGAACAACTTTCAAACTGTCAAGTCTTTTGCTTAGGACCAAACATCAAAAGCTATTTTGTTTTAGACAATACCAAACAATGTTTCAGCCACTGATTTTTTTTAGAAAAACTTTCTCCTTCTAATTTTTGGCATTCAAAACCAAACTTCGAGTACGAAAAAGAACCAACATAAAATATAATATTATATTCAAGTAAACTATCTGTGAAGAATATACTGTTCTAAAAGTTATTAGTATTAGATTTAAATAATAATACAACAATTCTGGTTTAATTGTGAAATTATATTCCTCTGGTCATATTAATCCAATGACAGTCCCACATTCATCAGGATTCTGTCAAGAAGCTGCAACATAAAATATAAAACAGCAATTCATACCCACTACAAATCATACCTTTCTCGGCCTTTTGGCTAAGATCAAGTGTAGTATCTGTTCTTATCAGTTTAATATCTGATATGTGGACCATTGGTTCACACGATATTAAATTTTTTATTTTAAGGGAAAGTGGGGGCTAATTGCAGTTGCTTGCTACTGTGGCTCTCTACAATCACCTATGCTTTACACTATTGCAAGGGTTGGGTGCATCCACTTAATCTAGTTGAAGTTTGGTCTTGATCTTAGACACTATTGTGAGGGATTATATTGGGCCTCTTGGGTATTCTACTATCTTGCACTAATTTAAGAGGTTGGTGCATCCCACTAAATTCTTGTTAACAATTTGTACATTCGATTCTTTTTGTGAAAATGTTGATTTTGTCGACTCATCAAATTTTACAAAACAGCATTCTAAGATATAATATCAAACTCTTTTTAGGCTTAATAAAAAGCACTTATGATCCCTATTTTCGGGTGTTTGAAATGGTCCTAGTTTTTTTTTTCTGTTTAATGTTATGTAATTTATACTCAATTTAGTCCTTTCATGGTGTTTAAATCGTTAACGGTCCAGCTGTGCATACCCAAATGAGATGGCATTTAATTGCCCACGTGGAGCTGTCACGTGTTCATTGTGATGATGGAAGCGCGCCAGTGGTGGTCACGATTCTTGTTCTCTCTCGTGGCGATGGTGTCTCAATGAAGATGAAGACGTTGCAGCCTTGCCCTTGTGATGGATGCTGGTGGTCTTGCACTAGGTGGATGTGCAATATTAGGGTTATGTGGGTTTCTAATTTGGGAATTTTTGGGTTGATTGTGTTTCGTTACAGGTTGATGAAAGCATGAGGGAGAAGCAGGTTCGCAAATATGGTGGTTCTTAGGCGCGATAGGGTTGAGGGTTTCGAACTGCTAGGTTGTGTCGATGGAGAAGGAGGAACTCGCGAAGACATCGCGAATCGCATCGGTGCTGTTTCTGGGTTTTTTGGATTGGATTTGATGCAGGTTTTCGGTGCAATTGATGGTGGTGGAAGTGCGCTTCGCGGAGGTTGACGCAAGGTTGATGGTGGAAGGAGAGGACGAGCACAACGACATGGTGCTGGTGGCAGGGTTGTGGGATAGCGCGAACTGGGAACAAGATGATGGTGAAGGCACGCGATGAAGATGGTAACGCGTGGAGGTAGTCGCAGTGGCATCCTAGTGATGGTCTTCTATTGCGTTTGAAGGTCTTTGGTGATTGCGGTGGCGGCCTGAGGGTTTAGGTGTGACGGCGCTAGGGTTAGGTGGCTAGAGAGAAATTAGAGTTTTAGTTTCTTTTTGGGCTGAAGGTTGAAGAAGATGGTGACGTGACAACTTCTAAATGTCATCTCGTTTGAGTTTTGCACAGTTGGAGAGTGGACCATTAACGATTTAAACGCCGTCTGCAAAAAGGACTAAATTGAACATAAATTACATTCTTTAGGACAACATTGAACAGGAAAAAAAAACGGGGTTATAATCAGTGGTTTGCAATTGAGTCTAACAAGCATTGCTCTTGCTTTGCACTATTGAAAGGGCTTGGTTCATCTCATCTAGGGTTGGACAAAATAACTTAACTATATTAAACTATAGTTAACTGTACTATTTTATACTAAAAAAAACTAATCTATTTTAACTAAAAACTAATTATATTATTATCTAGTTCAATTTAGAAAAATTGAACTTATTATATTTCTAGTGCAGTTAACTAAAAACTAGATTTTTACTTCTGTGTTTAGTGAGTTCCTATCACTTCTACTTTCAATTTGTTCTAAAAGTGTAAGTTAGATGGATAACTCCATGGAAAACCCTTATGTGTAGTATTAATCTTATCTCATTTTTAAATACTTATTTTTTTATTTATTTTTAAATACTTATTTTTTTATTTGTTTAAATTCATGTTCACGCAAATCAATCCAATGTCGCTTTTTGGAGATATTGCACCATTTTTCATTCTCAACTAATCTAACTCAACTTAAAATAAATAAATTCTGGCTAAAAAATATTGATTCAGTATAAAAATTAATATTTTTAAATATTTAACATTTTTAATGTTTTTAAATATGATCCTTAGTTATTTTTATTTTAACATTAAAATAAAATGTATCAATTAATATAATTAAAATAAAAGTAAAATTAATATAATTTAATTATGTTTTGATGTATAATTTAATTAATCAATGTATTTTTGTCAACTAATACAGGTAAGATAACTGTAAACTTTGTTTTATACTTTATTTTAAAGTTTTTATATTATTATTTTAAATAAACATTACCTTTTAATAAATTGTATATATTCCTTATTTTGTATCTAAACAAAAATTAACAAGAGATGGACTGGAACACGGTCATCTTCTCAATTTTCTTTCATTTCACTGTTCAAGAGTTTATCATTATATATTTTATTTATTGCTATAGTTAGTAGTAGGCTTTAACTTTTGAATACAAAATCCAGTTCAGTTAGTAGTTAATTGATATAAATTCAGTTTTTCAAAACTAAACTTTAATTAAATATTATACTAAGTAGTTTAATTTTTTTAGTTTATTAAAAATATAATTAACTATAGTTCAGTATAGTTTAGTTAACTATGTCCAGCCTTGATGTCACCCAAAACAGTCCAATGATTTTTGGTTCAGTCTTATATCACATGCATTATCTTGTTTCTTTTTTTAAATAGAGGTTAAAATTTACACTAAATGTTAGACTTCATCAGTGATAAGGTTGAGTAACTAAAATGGAGCCTCTTATGCCACAAAGAATAATCACTACTTTGGTTGGAAAAGCTTGCACAGCAATTTTTATTGAATATATATGTATTTCATATACCTATGCAGAATCTTTGACATGATGTATAAGTATTCCAAGTTCAGAATGTATT